TATGAATTCCAGTATATAGAGACTGAATAGAGTGTTTATATACATAGACAATGCATTTTTCCTTTCTTTTGCTCTCGAGTAGCAAGATCATATACGAACAAACATAGTTGAGGAAAAACAAGGTATAACAAAAATAACGATTTTTTCTTTTTCGTCCTCGTTTATTTCAAGCATAAAAACAAGCATCTTTATACTAGAACAAATTGAAACAGTGCTTTCATTTCTTTCCCATCTTTCCTTTATACGAACGAAAGATGGGAAAGAAATGAAAGCACTATTTCAATCTGCTCTAATTTCTCGAACAGCACAAATAAACTGCCATCATTACTATAAATAAAACCGTTTTTAAAACCATCTCATTTTCATGTGATGATTCAGCATTCTCAATGATTTCTGTAATTTCTTTAGCGAATTTTAGTTTTAAAGAAAATGAAATACCGGAAGATTGTTGATTATGAACGACTGCTTTAATTTCTTTAGTGAATTTTAGTTGTACGGAAAACCGAATCTGTGATGATTGAGCATTGTGAATGGCTCCGTTAGTCTCTTTAGTGAAATTAGTTGTAAGGAAAATGAAATATGTGAAGATTTAGGATTATCAATGACTCCTATAATTTCTTTAGTGCATTCGAGGCGTAGATGAAATTAAATATGTAAAGGTTAAGCATGATCAGTGACTTTACTTTTAATGTCTTTAGTGTGTTTTAGTTTTAAAGAAAATCGAATATCGGAAGTTTCTGGATTGTCAATGACTCGTTCAGTTTCTTTACTAAAATTTAATTCTAAAGAAAATCGAATATGTGAAGATTCAGGATTATCAATGACTCCTTTAGGTTGTTTAGTGAATGTTAGTTGTAGAGAAAATTAAATATGGAAAGAGCCACGGTTACTCATATAATTTGTTATGCACTCTTTGTGCTGGTGAAGGGATAGAGGCAACGGTATGTTGCGGTGGTAAATTAAGGGTTTCGATAAATGTTGTTATTGAGTTTGATTAGGTGCTTTTGTTTTACGGGATAAAGCAGAGAAGTTATTTGAGAAAGTGTTTTAGTACTGTACGTTCGGTGGTAGTTGCTAGGAGATTTCTGTGTTGAGATTTAACAGTATATGGTTGGCGGACTAGACGGTTCCTAATTAGTGTTGCGATAGGATGAAGCATTGACTTTCTATAGGTAAGAGATAAGTTTGACTTTCAAGTCGAGATCGTTTAGCTGATATTTTTATTTTAAGATGAAACTCAGTTTAGACTTGAAGTTTATCACATGCCGTTCCTCTTTTCTGTATTTATATCTGTAGAAAGATATATTGCTGGCTTTAACTTATACTTTGCACACATAATATCGGAAAACTCAAGGGGGAAACTGCGGACTTTAGACTTGAACGGACTTTGAAAAGTTCGACGGACTTGAAGATACATTGTCCAACTTGAGGGGACTTTGCTGGACTTGAATAGACTTGAACGGACTCTAGAGGACTTTAAAGTCCTCGAAAGTGTGCTCTAGTCGCATCCGTTGGTACATTCCTAAGACATAGAGTAGTCAGTATTTTGAGTTGGTTCCACTATTGATTGCATTTGCATCATCCCCGCTGATTATAGTGTAATTTTAGCAGTATCTGAGATCATTTTTTATCAAGACATAAACGATCAGACAAATTACAAAAGAGCAGAAGTTTCTTCTTCAAAAATATACAGTACTTGACTAAAGTCTGGATCCCTCTGAACTTCATTCAGATTTCAACGATTCTAGCTCATATTTTATGATATGTGCGGCGAAAGAAACGCTGATAACGTACACGATCCCGTCCCGTACGTAGATGAGGTACTCTGCTATCATCAACAGAAATTTCACTATAAAATATGCGAAAAAAGCAGAGATATGATACCAACTTTTCGACTCGTACGAAAGAACTACATGTAACTCGATCAAACAACACCAGTTTGAGCCCAAATTTTTATCAGATACTCATCCTTGTCTTATGATGCTATCCTACAAGTTCCAGCCCATTCCATTGAAATGTCTCGAAAAAGTAACCAAGACACGGTCACCTTAATCATGTCGAGAAGCGGTAGTGTAGCTATAATTTGGCACGCACTTTCTGTCACAGGAAACAGATATCCAGGCCTTCGTTCTTGTGCAAAATATCGAACTTCCGTCATCCGGTTGCAGAGATCTGCGGTAACTTTTGGCTCTTGTGTTTACATCGCGTATCGTAAATAGCATCTCCTAAAAGTCTACCACGCTTATCTTGGACATTTTTAGCTAAGATATTTATTAGTCCTGCATGCCTGATAGGATTGATACTTTGCTATCACTCATGTTAGTTCCTAATAGGTTATACGCTTACTTACTTACTTTTCGCGTTTTCGTGGAAGGTATGAAGTCCACAACATTTTAGCTATTTTACTGCTCACGAGAAAGATTATCTTCGACATGCATATCTTCATTACAACACCAAGAAAATGTTAAACATTCTTGCTCGATGTTCTCATGCAAAATGGTAGGATTATGCCCGACGAAAGCTAAACTATTAAAACATGACGACGTCTGCAACCGCATCGATTACTCAATCGGATTCGCACAGAACGAAGAATTTTCCAGATGACTTTTAATGTTTCTCTTTTAGTGAGGTACATATGGAATGAATAAAGGAGTAATTGTAGACAATAGCAACAAAAGACCGATGCGTAGCCACTCAGCGACCAACATAAGAGATAGCAAAATGTTACCTCTAAGTCAGATGAAAGTTAGATATTTTTGCACAAGGACGAAGGCCTGGATATCAGTTATCTATGACAGAAAGCGCGTGTAAATTATAGCTGCACTGTCGCTTCTCGAAATGATTAAGAACCGTTGTCTGAGAAAATAAGACAATGAAAGACAGGCGATTATACTGATGTCAACCGATTTGGCTCAAATTTTTACCACATCATCTAGATCATGAGACTAGGTTGTAATAAAAATTTTAGCTCCAGAAATCCTTTCTTTCAGGAGTTATAGGCGCCGCAAGCAGTTCTGGTCAAAAACCTCAAAAACACGGGGTTTTCAGTAAAATGAGGTTCTCTCGAAAACGACACGTCATAACGAGCTAAAATTTTTAGCCGAGCTTCCCAGCGTGCCACCTTAAAAGGTGATCGTGTCTTGGTTACTTTTCCGAGGTATTTCAATGGAATGGGCTGGAACTTGTAGGATAGTATCATAAGACAAGGATGAGTATCTGATAAAAATTTGGGCTCAAACTGGTGTTGTTTGATCGAGTTACATGTAGTTCTTTCGTACGAGTCGAAAAGTTGGTATCATATCTCTGCTTTTTTCGCATATTTTATAGTGAAATTTCTGTTGATGATAGCAGAGTACCTCATCTACGTACGGGACGGGATCGTGTACGTTATCAGCGTTTCTTTCGCCGCACATATCATAAAATTTAAATTTCTGTTGAGCAGAATACTTCAGCTGCGTAATGGTCGATTGAACCATTTGTACCAATGTGACCCCGCGAAATGACACAGACCAACTGACAAAATATTCCGTTAACTGAATCTCGACCAAAAATCTCACTTTAGAAGGACGGCACGTTATCAGCGTTTCGGGGGCCGCACATGTCATGAAAATATGAGCTAGAATAGTTGAGATTTTAATGAAACTTAGGAGATCGGGAGTTTTGTAAAACAGTCGTCTGGCAAATCCAGTATTGACTTTAAGGTTTCCAGAATACGAATATTGTTGACAAATGTTGTTTTAGAACTGAGAAACAACTCGGACTCTTGACAGAAAGGGAAATGATCTAGCTATCATGCGCAGTAAACCGAGCAATAAAAAGCTGTATATGTCTTGCGTGTTACCTGTAGAAAGCACGTCTTTCGATATGTATATGCACGCTGCAGAAAAGAATAGATCACGCACTTCTTCTATTCAACACTTTCCTGTAACGAATATTTTCTCTATATACATTTCAGATAAGTCAACGTGGAAAACAGAAAACCGTTTCTTGCTTCTGGAGTGACTTTTCATAAATAAATAACAACAATACTCAAAGAAATAAGCCGTTGTATCACATGGGATGCTTCTGGACTTGATCGAACTTGAGCGAACTTAACGGGACTTCAGCATACTTCAGTGGACTTGAGTGGACTTTAAAAGATCTGAGCGGACTTTAAAGTCTATAAAGTCCGCAGTTTCCCTCTTGGGAAAACTACATAAATTGCTATGCAGCCGCCATTACCAACTATAGTTGATCAAAAGAACAATTTGATGCCATTTTGATCACATAACGAACATAATGTTTATATCAGAAAACTTATAAGAATACATTTTGCGATGGAATTCCAAGAAATACAGGTCACGGGAAATTCGCCGTATAAGGCAGTCGTAAACCGCCGTATTTCGTCATAATACGACCGCCATATACGGCTGATGTATATCGCCGTACGTGGCCGTATACGGTTGTTTACGACCGTGTCTATTGGGCCTGGGTTATGGTTCTCCTAAGCTCAAAACAAATGATATCAGTGAGCTTCTCCTCAGGATTTATAGACAACTTTTTGAAAATGATTTTCCTGTTCCATTCTAATGCGGAACAAAATAACGTATGTAGAGCCTATGACGGACAAAAAGTCCAAAATTTTAAAGAGGATCTCAGGAAAATCTTTAGAAACATCATTGTTTTCGCAAAATCGGCTTTTCTTGTACAGGAACAGAGACAGTAGATGGTAGAAAGAGTCATTGATGTGGTGATTTTGGAAGTTAAATGAGGTATCTCTGTTGTTCTGTCCTATGCTCCTGGAGTTGTTACTGTTAAACTTCAGCATGTTATGCGAGATTAGGAAAGTAATTAGATTTGAAACTGTGTCTTTCTGTAGGACACTCTACTGTTAGTGCTACTGATTTATCGGACGTTGAAATACTAAGTAAATCTTAGAAACAGTCTAAAGACAATTGTATATTTATTTATTAAAAGGCTTTTTCATAATTATTCTTTACAAAAAAAACTTGAAAATGTATTCACCACCATTTTGTTGTGTTTGATGCCCATATTGGTTCATGATTGCCATCATATAGAACAAGATTTCGATCAATTTGCATAATAAGATGATGAGGTTTCGCGCCTTTTCCTGCTGTATGAGTACTCCATATTTGTTTATTGTTAACATCACGGATGACCAAATTACCGTTATCTAGCATCATTAAACGAAATGGTTGTTGACCTTTACCAGTCGAATTAGAACTCCATTGTGCATTTACTGGACTAAAATCTGACGATGTATAAACAACAAAATTACCATCACGTTGCATAATAGCATAATAAGCCTCATTTGTGGAACGTAAATACCCTTCTTGATACAAAGTAACACCATTTCCAAGCGTATCCGATGAATAGAGTCTTGGAAGTATTCCAATTGAGCTACCGATAAACAATAGGAGAATATAAATGTATAATATAGCCATATTTATTCTTCTATGAAGACTAAGATATTTTCGTTTGATAAACTAAAAAAAGTAAAAAAACGACTTGAGTATTTCAGCGTCGTCTATTTCTTCCAATTTCAGGCCTTTTGTAACAAGAAATTCGTTACAGATCATAAGCTTTAGCTACCCTTAAATGTATAGCTTCACTCAGCAAACAGATATCTTCTACGCGTTTCATTCTACTTTTTTTGTCAGTGTATGGGTACATAATTAATCCGTACGTCATTTTTCTTACTACTGGAAGGTCAATTGCAAAAGAACGACTTAATATCATCTTATATTACAGCCCCATTTTGCTTTTTAAATGAAAAATATTAAAAAACCAAGGTTAAAATAACAAATGGATAAAAATCTAGTATTGTTTAGAAAAGAAACAACGGAATATAGAAATGTTTTTCTTATTTCACTGATGATACAATAATCATAAATAATCAACTCGAAAAAGCACACCGGCAACAACAGCAGCCAAGGCTTGCACGACGTCTTAAATAGTGAAATAAATAAACTTTTTCTTCGCCCTCACCCTCTACCAGCATCACTACCACCTAGCAACCGACAATTCTATGGGTGTTAATCGCCTAAAAGATAATTCTCCAATTCTTTTTTTCTCCGAGTGTAATACTCACTCATATTATATTATTTTTGAAGCATATTAAGACTGCATATGCTATATTACGACGTACATATGCAATTTTTCATATATCGTAAAAAGTGCCTCTCCGAACGTACATTTGAGAAAAATGACGAAAAACGTCTGATTAAATATGAACAGCCCGATTATTATCCGGACGTTGGAAATTGTACAGATATAAGAAAAGCCATTGGATCAGTATCCAACTTTTCTATAGCTAAAGTAACATCCTAAGCGAGATGAGACAGATAATCCAACTAAGTAGAGAAATCAAACGTCGCGAGGACTAATTCTGGATTTTAAAAGATAAGGATTTGGTTTAAGCAGTAATAGTCCTATTATGCACTTCTGGAATTGTAATTTTAAACAAGAGTTATATGACATTCCTTACTTTTGTAGTTAGTTCTCTTTGTAAATTTATGTTCCTGAATATATGAACACATTTGTGGCGATATAGTAGTATAGTAGTAAACAACGGAAACATGTTTGCTTTGCATTAAAACACATCGATTGTTAAATTTTTGTTCGAAAGTTCAGAAATGAGATTATTCTATCGTGTATAACTTATTCCGTCAGACGGAATCCGTCTACTTGAAGCGGGAAACAATGAGTCCTTAGAGCCCCTAGAAAATCTTAGCCAGCTGCTCGCCGGACACTTATCCACCTATGATAGGGATCCACAAGAGATGATTGAGAATGTCCAACAGGACGATATATTTGATTTTGAGTTTCGACCAACCTACCCTACTGTAGCTTCTTTTCTCAAGTATATGACTTTCTTGAATTTCTTGAGTAAGAATCTCATGGCGTGGAGACATTTCTTACTCATGCAAAACGCATTTTTTTCGATGTCATGCGCTTGACTGTCTTGAATCATGTGCTTGAGTTTCATATCTCAAGAAACTCATGCGCATGAGATTCTTATCTCAAACGCCTGAATATCTCATGCCCTTGACTTTCATGAGTCAAACTTTTCTCTGTCTTGCCTTTTCGATCTGCTTTGACCAATGAAATTCGAAATTTTGATTTTGAGTTTTTAATAGACTGGATGTGTCTGTGTATAGAGCAGACATGTTGACGTCGTATACATTCAAGAGAATAATGCACGTTGTCTACACAGCCGTTTCTTTTTTAACGTACTGTGAAGATGAAGGCCATTTTTACTCGCATTTTTTGCATATTTTAACCTGCATTTTGTTATAAATCGTCCTGTGTTTTCTCCGTCACAAAACTGAAATATCTTTCTCATTAACAGTTATGAAAGGTCTTTCTTCTCAGATAATGTACCAAATCTAAGGTCCTTTCCCCGTTGTGTAGGCTCAGTTAAAAATTTTGATTCTGCAAGATTTTCAAATAAAAATGTATAAAAGTGAGACGTGCACCAAATGGTTGATGTTTATCATTACAATTGTGAGTTTCCTCGGTGTAATATCGCTTTGCCGTTGGCGGCTTCCAGGATGTAGCAAGTATTAGTTTGGTCCTGTTTGATGTATGAAATTATTTTGCTATGTTTTTCTTACAGGAATATGCCGATTCATTAAACATTTCGTTTTCTGAAACAAGCGTAAAAAATGCAATAAATATGGAAGAAATATTCATCACAATGGTT